GCAGAAAATTTTGAAAATAGCGTTTGAAAGTCTGCGGAACAAATTCCAGTGAGAGTTCTTCAATGGTTCTCACAGACTCAGTTCGCGTGTTTCGGTTCGACAAAATCAACCATCGTTATGTCTTTATTGTACCATTGACCGATCACCGCTAGTAAATTGTACAGTATATCTTTTTTTAGATCTGGGATATTGCTGCAACAGCCGATAGCACTTCTGGAAGGCATATCTGCGCACTTTTCGAATGTGTATTGCACCATGGAAATGAGAGGACGTGAGTTATTCGATCTTCCTGGGTAGACGTCACAACAGCCGCTGGACCCATTCTCCTCAAACTCGGTCGTGAAACAAAATGGCGGTATTTTGGGGCTATTTTCGCGATTTCGTCGGAGCACAGAAAATCGAGGATTTAATCGAATCCAAAAATTTTTTCGCAGAAGTATTTCAAATAACATGTAGATTCGTTTTAGCGAAAAAAAAGTTTGGGGTTAGGTGCACTTTAAAGTAAAATAAGTCGCTCAAAAACATCTTAAAATCTCTCGCTGTATTTTTTTTCTTTTCGCATGAATGTTGAATCTGAGACCATTTTTAATTCATGAAATTTTGAAGTAGGGTCGTATGGGTAGATATTGAAAAAACGTCATTAAAATTACAAGCGCCCCAATCATTATTATTGTTTGTAGTGTTCAAGTGTTTCATGTGATCGTTAAAAACTTAAGCAAACAGTAATAAGAAGATAAAACATCTTGGAATATTTTAAAGAAGAATTAAAAGTAGAGCTATTAGCCAAAGGTATCTGCGTCAATGGAAAAAATTGTCTCTCGATGAGAACGGAATGAAATCTCGCACATGCGCGGGTCGTGACGTAGCTCCATTAAGATAATTACAGTTAAAAACTTGATCATTGGATTATGCAATTCAAGAGTTTTCATTGGCTTAGCCATCATGGTATACGAGCAATATTACAACCACGCTCTACACGTGGTAAACGTGCGCGTAATTTAGTTTTCTATATTTGGGGAGCGTTTTTGACAAACAGTTATTCCACTCGCGCCACTAACTGGATATGAGATGAAAGTTTTACCACATCTCGCAATCTGATTGGCTAATTTGCCGTTGTCGATAAGAGTCCAGACAACGCTGCTCGCGTCAATATGTCACGCTCTTGGTCACGCTCTAGGTGGTCACGCTCTGAAAAAACATTTTCATTAACGTTGATATTATGGTAAAAAACAAATCGAATGTGGTTTAGCGTTGTCTGTACTCTTATCGACAACGATATACGTCATCAGAGTAGTCAAAAGTTGTTGTGGACTCACTCGGCTGCGCCTCGTGGGCACAACATTTTGACCACTGTGATGAGGCATATCGTTGTCGATAAGAGAACAGACAACGCTAAACCACATTCGATTCGTTAAATAGCCAACGAGGCGCGTATACTATTGTTCTGAAACTATTTAACAATTATTCTACGAGCACGTATTGGATAAGAGATGGTGGATGGTCAACGAGGCGCGTCGCGCCGAGTGGAGTATAATCATCTCATATCCAACAAGCGCGAGTGGAATAACTGTTTTATTAAAAACGCCCCCAAAACATAGAAAATTAAAATAATATAAAAGTAAAAACGCCCCAATAACTCATGCGTGCGCTTACCATATTTGTAGAGCATGATATAATTGCTCATAACCCATGATGGCTAAGCCAATGAAAACTCGAGAATTGCATTATCTAATGATCCAGTTTTTAATAATAAAGATCATAAACTTACCACCGTTTTGACCAGAGAAAAACGCTGCGGGGCCCTACTGTAACCTGCTCCGGGTGCATGAGTGGGCTCCCTTGTTAAAAATAAAAAACACATAATCAAGTGACTGGCGCCAAGAAAAACCATGAGTTTTGTGTCACGGAAGCTCCCAATTATTACCGATACGAAGACGGGGACAACATTGCCGGAGCTTTTTACGCAGTAATGTCTATATGCACGACACCTGCTGCACTTACGATCGATCATAACGTTGCTTTTTTATAACCTCAAGGAAGGAGTAAGGTCCATGGCGAGTTGTTGTCGAAACAATATTACACCTGCGTTAGAAAATTAAAGAAAACTTAATTATGGCCACTGCCTCAAGCTCGTCCCAGGTTGTTGTTCTCAGTGCATTGATAATTGCAACGGGTCGACGACTATTGGCTCTTAATTATAAAATCTTAATAAACGCCCCAAGACCTTAAAGAGCGATTTTAAGGGTAAATTCATTAGCAAAACATAAATAGAGGTAACAAAGAGGTAGCTAATTTTATGGCATCATCTTCTCGGCTGAAAGACTGTTTAGAATGCTTCGACTTCATAAGGCGCAAACTTCAAGGCATGATGCATGTGAACTTGGCAGGTTTGTTTAAAAATGTCTTTGCGATTTGAATTCAATAATCATATATGATGAAGTGGTTCAACGATCGAAGCTTGCTCACAATGGTGGCTAGGCAATTGGAGATGTCCATCCAAAATGAGTCTGGATAAACGAGTAAGATCGTTTTAATTGTTTTCTTTTTTTTTTTTCTCACATGACACCAATATTAATTTTGTGAACTTAAGTAAAAAATACTGAGACTTATACAAAAAGATACCACTGTGGTCATATTTCTGAGAATTTGCGAATTTAGCATTGTAATTTTACCGTTGTGCATAACGAAGTAATGCTTAATTTTACAGGGAACCAACTTGTTTCAGCAAGATCCTCAAATTTCGATAACGATGCAAGAAAGTCATTACAAAGTTAAAAGTAACGAGGGTTAATATCATGGCGGTAGAACTAAAGCACCACTGCGGATCACAAACAATATTAACAGAAAAGTGTTTTCAAAAACGTTTGATTCGTCTAATTGTCCCAAGTGGTCAAAATACAACAGGAAAGTGTGTTTAAAAGTAGCTTTCTGGTTTGACTGGAAAGCAAAAGTTACTGATACTACCAAATAGGCCAGCGTCCGAATTGGAAGAATTCCGGACTCTTAAATCTTACATTAATGTCTTTCGTGGAGCAAGTGAAATCAGTCTTGGTTAACATGACTTCGACAAGTATTATTACAGCGTTTTACAAGAATTTGCATCAAATTTAATAACACTTACAAACGCGTGTACCATATTCTACTGGTGTTATAATTTACTTTTGTCTAAGTTGAGTCAGTTTGAAAAATGCTTGATGATTGTTCCAACGGAAAACAGTTAATCTTGGTTCCCGAGAATATCTTTGTTTACTTATGCAGAGCCGGGGAACATTGAGATTCAAAGGAAATGACAAAAAATACAAACACTATACAAACAAAAATTATTAGTTTCTGAAGCAAGGGGTAATCATTAAACGATTTGCGTTACAGCATGGCAAAACATACCTAGATCCCTTTGCAACAGTGGCCGGCATTCAGTCAACATACGTCGCCATAGATGTCTGAAACAGTATTATTGCAGGAGATCATGCGACTTCGAAGGAACCAATATGAAAGGGTTTTGTTTGTCCAGCGGCATTTCAAGTACATTTGTTCAAAATATCCGGACCCCGAATTTTTAAACAACGATTTCAAAACATTGGAAAGAAAACAGTTCAACAAAGCTAGTTTCTTTCGTTAGCATAATAATTTAGTTATTTATCTACATTATACACAGAACATTGTAAAGCAGCTTTTTTTTACTAATTTTATGAAGATTGTTAGCATTCAACCGCACGCTCCCTTTTAGGTGACGAAAAGATGACGTCAGAATACCTGATTACTGTTATCACAGGAATCCGAAAGGGAGCTGGGACGGATGCATCGGTATCTCTTATTATCAAAGGTAACTCATCAAAAACTTACCGGCTTGACGACCACGGCTGCTCGGGAAATGAGCCCGCGCTCCTCACCTGGGCAGGAGCGAGGAGCAGACTCCACAGTGGTGGAAACAAAAAGTAATGCAAAGCCCAGGGAGCCACAGGGAAAACTAAACTCGACAACCGCTTATGAGGGTTGAGATTTATGAGAGAATATTTCACATCAGTGATGATAGCCCTACAATAGTGCTTTGAAATAGACGCCTGTTTTTTTTTCTGAGTATAAAATGTTTCTTAGAGCATTGAACGTCACGTAAAAACTTACCGCAAAGCGGACCAACAGAGGAGTTGATAAAAATATATTTGACGAGAAATCTTGGCGTTGTTAGATCATGTTGTTAGGCCACGGTATTGGGTCACCTCAAAATGTCAGAGAGCCTACAACGTTACTTTTTAGACGTCTACAGATAAGTTAAACCGGTGAGATCAGTGTTTCCACTGTAATAAAATACATGTACAAATGTCAGCACGCTGAATGGCTGAGAGCACGACAATTATCCCAAACAGTGCAGAAAGTTGAAACTGAATCCAACATCATTATCAAGATGCATATTATTACCAAGTAATAATTTGGAATAAATAAGCACTTGTAAATTTTTCAAGCACTACAAATTGCACTCGCCCTACGGGCTTGGGCTTAGCCTATAAAAAAAATTACTTGTGCTTATTTTTTTATTTTTATTTTTTTTGTCAAATTGCACTCGAAATCATTTTGGTTACCTTTACAAACTGTCTCTTTATCAAGGTACCAATGGTGAAACTGACGCGTTGTCCTTGGACAAATGGTTCCACAACGACTTCGAAGCAGGACAGACGGATGAGTATCACGTGACCGCCAAAGATGTTGGCGAGCTTTTGATGATTACCTTGAAGAATGATGGCGGCATGTTGTACAGTGATTGGTTCGTTAACCGAGTGACGATCACGGACAAAACAAAAAACGCCACGTACGATTTCCCATGCAACCGTTGGGTACAAAGTGAGGCTATCATCTTCGAGGGCAAAGGTACAATGGTATAAGATTGTAAGATTTTCTTTTAAGTGATTTAGAATTAGAATTTGCCTTCATTGGATTTCAAATAAAATCTTCACCCGCCGATGTACAGCAAAACTCACGCAGTAATTTACCATAAGTGGCATAAGTCGCGTAAGGTGATTCGTGCAAGGAGCTGCTGATAATAAATTTACCGTGGTCACTGCACAACCAAGATTGACAAACTGCTTAGTCGGGAAACATCTTTTCTCAATGCTTCATGTGTTCAGGGTCGTTTAGACAACTCATAGTATCTTAATCTATCTTGGTTTAGAATAAAAGCAAGATGAAAGACGTCGTAAGTCTTAACGATGCAAAACAATTACAGTAGAGACTCGCTATCGGAAGAAATATTTCACCGTGCTTTAAAAAGTAAATGGAACCGTAAACCAATATGCTTATTTTCAGACTATTCAGAAGGCCATAAATTCAGAAAGATTTATGCATATGACGTTTGGCAGCAGGATTCTTTTTTCCGGAGGTCTTGATTTAGAAATTTGACTGAGGATTTGGTTGATTGTTGTTTCCATTCCAGCCAAGCTGCCAACAGATGAACAACATCCAGCAGTGAAAAGCCGGCGGGAGGCGGAGCTTAAGGAGAGGAGGGCCTTGTACGAGTGGGGACACGATGAAGTGTACTCGGATCTCCCAGGTTACGTCAAAGCATCAGGCGTGGACAATCTCCCAAGGGATGTTCAGTTTACCGATAAGGCCGCCTGTGATCTGCACCGTGCCAGGAACAAGGCGCTCATCAATCTTGGTCTCGTGAAACTGTTCAATCTGTTTGATCAATGGGACGACTTTGACGACTACCGCAAGGTACTCTGGGTGGGAACTCTATATAACAAACCACGTGATATCCTGACTTCTAGATGTGGAAATAACGGACCCTTTAGATATGACGAACCCATGATCTTAATGACGTAAGGGTTAGACAGGGAGGACACGTTGATTGAATCTCTGCTTTAGTTCTCGGCACGGAGGTTGCTAAGCAACTGGTATGTTTCCAAGGCGACAAGCAAGACGTTATAAGTTAGTGGCTGTCCTTCCTCTACTTGAACAACAACAACTGAAATCTCTCGGCATACTGACATTGACGAAACCCTAACAAAAACTTAAGGTGGTCCACAGATTTAATAGTACTTTAAGGTAACCTTGAACATTGTATCCAATAATCTCTTACTCTGTTGCCTACTTAGAAAATGAAATGCAGTAGAGATCAGTTGATCAAACTCGTGCCCACGTTTCTTTGATGTTGTTGCTGTAGAAAAGTTCCGCACGAAGATATCCCTTCCGAACAATTTCAAACTGCCGTGTGTCATTTAGTCACAATTGATATTTTTCGATTCTAGATATATTCTTGGTGTGATTATTCTATAGATATTAATTTTTTTCTGCTCAGCTGTCAAGAGGAAGTTTTATTTTTGATGTTCTACATAATTTAGGCATTCACTAGCTTCGTTGGAGACGTACCCCAGGCAGCGGAATACTGGAAAGAGGATCGCTTTTGTGGTTCCCAGTTTCTAAACGGCTGCAATCCGGATTCATTGAAGAGATGTACAAAGCTGCCACCTCATTTTCCTGTGACACAAGAGTTAGTCGGAAACCTGTTGGACAGCGGAGACACTTTGGAGAGCGCCATGGCGGTAGGTTTGCATTGATCAGTTTTGGAAACGTATAGAGGATTTTGATGTAAAAGCATGGAAAGCTATGCGTTACTTAGTCATTTTTTATTGCACCAGAATCCGGAACAAACTAAAAGTGAGGGTTAACCGCTGTCAAGTAAAACGTCAGACGCACAGCTATATTGCACAACACTAAATGTCATAAGCTAGAAAATGTTACGCTGGATCCCCCATTGGACCTATAGAGATAGACCCTAATTGAGCAAATATTTTTAGTATTTTTGGCAATAACCCGCAGCGTTACGACAAGCTATTCGACAATTTCAATTAGGCATATCGTTCCTGACCTCATTATTTACATTTTATCCAATTGACGTTTGATTTGTAAAGAGTGGGTGTCATTAACCCCTAACTTTTAAACAGCTTGAAACTCTTAATAATAAGCAAAATGTTTAACTGTGTGTTTTTTTAAGGAGACGTCGCTTTCAATACTTCGGGCTCACATTCGCAGGGACAGTCAATCTTACCATGCCCTTTCAAAAATATCGAGAGTTGGTATTTTGTAGCTTCATTAGATCACAACTGGCTTTTGTTTGTTATGTATAGGATGGCCGTATTTACATGGTGGATTATAAAATCTTGGAAGACATTCGGCAGTACGGGCAATACCGAGAGGACCTGGAAAGGAGGTACATGTGCGCAAGCCTGGGACTGTTTTATGTCAAAGGCAACGGAGATCTGATGCCGATAGCAATCCAGTTCCATCAGGATCCTCACCATGAAAACCCGATATGGACACCAAATGATATCGAGATAGACTGGATCTGTGCCAAGCTTTGGTTACGTAACTCTGACACTCAGTTTCATCAGGTAACAATAAGGCGCCACGCTGAGCGGTAGACTGGGCACTAGCCTAGAGCGCTAGGTTGTCTGGGATCGTTTCTCCAAGTAACCTTGCATTCGCCATTATTGGTATCTGGTATCAGCTCGAAATATGAAAATTATCATGTCGTTTCGGTAGGACAGCTCGGTTTTAACTGCTGCTCGTACTGCGGGCGCAGCCACCTTATGCAAGGCAGTGATAGGCTAACAATCATTAGTGCTTTCGTTCCTCCCACGCGTATTTTGCGGCCTCGCTGGAAGTCGAAAATTCAGGCCGACCATCATTACGGTTGTATTCAATGATTACTTCAGTACTTTCTTTTTACTTTCTTTCCTTCCATTGTACAACGAGTATTTTTCTAGTGCCAAAGTATGGACCTGTTGTGTCGCCCTGTAAAAAGAGCTACTTGTGCGGTTTTCGCCGTACAATGTCGTGTTGCCAACGCACACAAAAGAAACCTTGCTGTATAGAAAGAACAGATAATTTTTCTCTGGATCAGCTGTAAGGTTTCTCGTTGGGTTGGGTAAATAACGTGACCAGACAATGATCATGACTAATGAACTTCGAACGTAACGAAACCGTAGAGAAAATGGCCTGCAAAAGACTTCGGCGGAGCTTTCACAGGCCAGAAACAAATCACATCCGCGACCCAATATTACAATTTTTTTCCATTTTAACAGATGGTCACTCATCTTCTGCGAACCCATCTCTTCATGGAACCCATTGCTGTTGCTAGCTACAGACAGCTGCCCACACTCCATCCCCTGTATAAGCTGTTGTCTCCTCACATCCGGGGTGTCCTCGCCATCAACACTCTTGGCAGAGATGTGCTGATTGCAGAAGGTGGAGTGGCTGACAACACTTTGACTGTCGGCGGTGGAGGTAACATTTTTATTAATCATTTATGTCAAAGGGACAGTTGTCCTGCCCGATATATCGAAAGCTCTCTTTCGTAAATGCCACCAAGCATACAAATAAAACGATTTACATGTCATTTCGTTTTTCGCTCGACGAGAAGAGAAAGTTTTATATCGAATAGAATGGTCATTTTCATCAATCAGGGGAAATAACTCATTTCGTTTTCAATCTAAACCATTTGTGTTTCAAGTATTCTTCACTCAAGCTACAATGGGCGATAAAATTGATTGAGAAACCCTTGAATAAAAATAGTTAACGATATTCAACTCCTTAATCTTTTTCATATGCATCTAGAGATAATTCTATGATTCCCAAACGCCTCCCCCAACCCCACCTCCCCCTCTCCCAATTCAATATTGTGTAGGTGCTGTGGTCTGTGCAGTCTTACGAACAGAAATATCAATATCGTAGGGGGGTGTAGGGGGGTGTAGGGGGAGTGCAAAATGCTTCCAAGACGCTCGATTTTTCTATGAAGTGTCTCAACGCTTCTGTCGTCATGATTGCCTAGTAAGTAACGTGAGAATTCAAAGCTCCTCAATTGGTATGGCGCTGTTGTTGTCTGTGGAGAGCCATTTCCATATTTGTTTACATCTCTTTCGCCAGGACATGTAACTCTGATGAAGAAATACTACAAGAACTTCAGCACATGGCACTCATACAATCTGCCACAGATGTTGAAGGAAAGAGGAGTTGATGATGCAAAGAAGCTGCCAAACTTTCATTATCGCGAGGACGCGTTAAAACATTGGGCGGCCATCGAGGAATTTGTCAAAGAGATCTTATCCGTTTACTATCACTCCGATGATGACGTGAAGAAGGTACTGTACTCCAACTATTCACTTTTATAAATAAAATAACTGAGTTACTACGCGCGCGCTCATTGGTCGATAAGTATGTTTAGATGAGAGGACCCAAAGGACCTCTTAGTCTTAGTCACGGACTTAGTTTTTATTATCAACGCAACGTTTTACCAGGTTAAACTACAATTCAATAATTTGCTTTTCAAATTTGTAAAGTAGACGTTTCGAGGGTTAGGTATCTTTACGGGATCATCATTTTTCTGAGGAAAGGCTATAAAAACCATCGATTTCTCTCAACAATAACCTCGCAAAAAGTGACCAAGTTTTTCAAGATTACGTATCGTTACTGTACATATGTAATTTTCGTGACACCAGTCCTTTAAATGGTATGGCATGACAAGAGTTAAATCAAGAGAAGATCAAGGTAAGAGAGTGCATGAGTCCGCCATGTAAGCCTTATACCGAAGGAGATCCCTCTTGAGTTATATTTAGACATGGTACCCAGTTCCTCCGNTTATATGTCATAGACATTGGCACTATAGTATTTCGACATCAGTTAACTTCTGCTCTATCTTCTTTGTCTCTTATTAGTTCTATTAACTTCTTCACTTTCGATGGCTTCTTGTGATAAAACGAATACGTAGCCCGTTTCCTTGTTTACATAGACAATTTTCTGTACTGAACCTCTATGTTGCAACATTTTTAAATCGCTACTCTGAAAGTGTCGTTCTTTTGTAAACAAAAGCTGCACGTGAAGTGAAAAAAGTACTCAAAGTGAAAATAATTGATACTGAAAGCCACCATGCTAAATGAATTGTATCTCAAAACGCGGCACTTCTGGGTGACGAAAATTTCATTAAATTGCGTGACAGAAGTCACCTGTGTTACCAATCAATCATCAACTATGACCTCGATATAACGAACACTTTGGTTGTTTCCCCTCAAATTCGTTATATCAAGCTTTTCGATGTAACGAACCCTCGATTTAACGAACAAATTTGGCCGGTCCCCAGCAACTTCGTTAAATCGAGGTTTCACTGTACTATGACGTGACTTTTAACTCACTCATTGTTAATCTAGATTTTTCTCGTTGCAAATGACTTAACTGATGTGTACGCTGTCGTGTTAGGATTACGAACTGCAGAACTGGGTTCGCGACTTACATGACAACGGATACCCCGACGCACCAGGCCATACAAACCACGGCGTCCCTACATCCTTCACGAGCTGCGTCCAGCTTAACGACTTTCTCACCGCCATCATTTTCACCTGCGCCTGTCAACACGCAGCGGTTAACTTCTCCCAGATGGATGTGTACGGTTTCCCGCCAAATTCTCCCGCACTCATGCGCCAACCACCACCGAAGAAGAAGGGCATTGTGGGAATTGCAGACCTTATGAAATGCCTGGCTACCAAGCACCAGTCGGCGGTCACCATCGCTACGGTGTACGATCTGACACGTATCTTCTCTGACGAGGTACGTTCCGTGTCGCACACATGAAGAAATATTCGGGTGCAAACATATCAGGCATCAATGGAGCCTTTCACTTTCCACATGGGGAAAAATTTGTTAATAGGCTACATATTCTAGCATGGCTCCGAGGTCTTCAGGACAAATTTCTACATTTGGTGGTGTTTTCTTTGTATCCATGTCTCTTTTGGGAATTGAGAGACAAAATAAACTTGAAAAATCTGCAATTTTGTCTCGAATGCCTCGGAGCCATGTTGGAATATTGATATATCGTTCAGGGACTATTCTTAGTAGTCGAGGTAAAGAATTTTTATCCCAAATTTGTCTCCACTGATAACAAAGGTAGTTGCCTCTGATTGGTTAACCGAAACATGGTCTGTGTTACAGCTATGGCACGAAGCTAACTCACGTAAACCTGGTTTAGCATTGTCCAAAAAGCTTTAAGTTTGTTTAACAAGTGCATCTCCAGGGAGGTACTCCCATATATAAACTATGTGTGACGTATGTGCGGCTGTGAAGGGTATGGTTATCAGGCAGTTTAGTCTGGGATAAGGTATAGAAATCAGACGGTTCTGATCTAGAATAGGACATAATTTACGGAAACGTGGCAAGTGTATCAATAATTTAGTCCGGAACAGGTTCTTTACCCGGGGTTCTATAATAGAAATTGAAACTCGAAAGTAACTTTTAAGATATTGATTCAGTTAACGTCTGTTGCACCACGATCGATAGTGATAAAGTTTCTGCATGGGAAATAGCTAGTCTGGGATAGGGTAGGGGTTTTTGTTGCCTAGTCTAGAATAGGGTTGCGAAATCAAGCTGCTTATGGTCTAGTATAGGGTGAGGATTTCAGTGTCCCAGCAACACACTCCTACCCAAAGATTCCCAGAGTACCCTCCTCCGGGAGAGTATCGCTTTTTTCCAATGAACAACCATGCTGTGAAAGTGTTTTCTGGGTGTCGATAATCTTCTTTTAGAGGGTGCACCTAGCCTTGACCATAAACGCATTTCACTTTCATTCACAGAAATTCATCGGCGATTACCCTGAAGAACTGTTCATTGACGAAGCCGCCAAGAACGCCATATCGGGCTTCCAGGAGAAACTTAAAGGAATCTCTGCAGAGATCAAAGAACGGAACGCCAGACTTGTGGTGCCTTATCCGTATCTTCTTCCTGAGCGTGTTCCAAACAGCATTGCTATCTGAAATCATGGTTAACAAACCAAGGACGAGCCTTACCTTGTCAAGATATCATTAACGTATTCCGGGAAGATTAGGTTTTATAAATACGAAAGGACTTGCTGTCAGTGTAGATGTTTCTATCTCTCGATATAACCAGAGATTTTAGCTTGACAGGACATTAATAAACGGTAGAATCCTACTAGTATACTAATGCAAATGCTGCAATCTGATTGGCTGAGCTACTCGTATACTATCAGCCATTAGAATGCAGTAGCTGTCGGTCGTCCNCATTTCCCAGATTCTGGACTTTATCTATCGACCGGTTTTGATTTTTATTTTGATCTATTTTGAATTGCGTGACACTGAAAACCAGCAATTGTTAAATAGAAACACGGCTTTTAATCAGTCAGCGCGCATATTTTCCTAGAACTGTTTTCTAAATTGATTTAGTTGAATTCTACTAGTATACTAATGCAAATGCTGCAATCTGATTGGCTGAGCTACTCGTATACTATCAGCCATTAGAATGCAGTAGCTGTCGGTCGTCCGAGAAATGCGGCGTTTCTATCGTTTCTCCGAAGTTTTGGAAGAAAGTTTAGATGTAAATGGATAAATTATATTCCTGAGAAGACAAAGAGACGGACATAAAACTTGAAATTATTGAAAAACCGGTGCGCGTGCGTGAACAACTGCAAATTTACCAAGGACAATTCAATACTTGCGATGTTGTTAAAGCGTAAAGTTCAATAATGCGTCGAAAAATATTTGGAAACCATTATTTGAGTCAATTTAAGTTAGAATTCTACTAAAACAATTACATTATTCGCTTTCGATTTCTATGAGGCGATAGTTGATGAGGCCGAAGGCTCATAATCTCGAGTTTTCGAGTTCTCGAGCTCATAATCTAATTGTTAAATATAAATTCATCAAGTAGTGCTTATAACACACTTTGTGCAGGTGCCCTGAATTAAAACAGTAAGGTCTCTTTGTCCAATGTTATTTTTAAAATTGTTCAGTGTCGTTCGCTGCCAATCACATGGTTTCAGTTTGGACCAGAGACACGGACCCAAGAATCTTGTCTTATATTATGCCTCACAAGAGATAATTGTTAACACGGCATTTGTTCTTTGTATCAACACTAAAGGGCGTGTTCATGTTGTTCTTTCATTTGTCTACAACTAAACAGATCTTACCAGTGAAAAAGAAGATGACAAAATTCAAAAGGATATCCCTAAAGAAACTGGCTATTTCGGAGATATTGACACATCGTCCAGTGAATCATCGGACGCTCAAAGCTCGGATTCTGATGATGATATTTCAAGAACGTCAAGGAAAGGTCATATACGTAAGTTAGACCTTTATAAGAATCTGTCTTGTATATGCATTTGGCTATTATTTTTCCTATCAAGCTGTTTGAGTCTTCTTTGGTCACTGTACTTGTCCACTGTGCCGAATTGGGAAGGAGCCGGTTCACGCGGAAATCAAGTAGTGTTCAAGTACATTGTCATAGCTTGCAACACTCTACAATTATGATTTTATGGACTTTCTCAATCTCGTCATCGTTGTATTATCTCCCCTTCAAAAAAATAGAGAGTTTAGGGAGGTATTCTCCCTATATTACCTGGGCTAGTTTCTCTAGATGTTTATGTATTAAGCACTGAAAGATTATTTTAAATGAGTATTTTGATGTTGTCCTTTTCCCGCTATTTTAGAAATTCAGATGAAGGCAGAGGAGTCCAAACAAACAGTTTGGCAGCAAGAAGATCATACTGTTGAGGCCAATAAGGCAAGCCTAACCCAAAGCCCCATTTTGTTTCCCAAAGATGGAGAGTTTCCTAGAGGCAAAGCAAATGTTAAAACTTATTATGAAACTAGGCCACTCAAATGGAAAGAAAATGGTCCCCACCTGATTCAGACCAGCCATTTTCAAGAAGCCCACAATCTACGACAGCTAAAATCTCTCCATCGTTCAGGTATTTCCTTCCTTCTGGGTTTAGGCAACGAACCAGTCCAGCATTATCTCATCACAGCGCATCAAAGGTTGGGCTACTTACTGACATTAACTAGAGGAAGAAATGCGTATTGCAAGATGCAAGCTCACAGAGCGGAAGCTCGCCAGTCTTCAGAAAACTTAAGCGCTTTTCTGGGAAACAAGGATAAACACAACGCGAGTATTGTGGACCCCTTACAACAGCTTTACTGCAGACTAGTTAATAAAGGTAAGATGTGCACTGGAAGTTACACACAATGACATTAAATAAGGGGTCTTAAATCGATTTCAAGACCCTAGCTCTTCAGCTTTGAAATTGTTCATTAAGCTAGTTTCCGACTCTTTTGTCTTCAAAGTGTTTCGTTTTGTATTTTAGCTGGACTCTATAAAAGACATAATAATCGTGTTAACGTTCATTGGTAGTGGCTGAGTTTGAGAATACTTGTTTTCCAGAATATACAGCTACTGCAAACAGTGAGGATCTGACTGCCAGAGGGAAATCAGCCGAGTGCATAATGGAACGTTGTCAATCCGCCGCCTCTGTATTTTGGGTGCTGACTTACGCATTTGGGCCAACAAGGGAGATTTTGTTTTTTTATGTAAGAACTGCAAACGCATTTTAAGTAGTGTGTACTATTTAGCCCAAAATTGAAGATTACATAGAGATGTGACATTTTTTAATAATTTCTGGCTAAGATACATTTAACGCGGTAACAGCGGAAGCGACCATGAATTGTCTGAGTTGATTTTCTTCGGAAAGATTGATTGAAACACGAAAACAATATGAACGTTTGATTGATCGTCGCACACAACTTAAGCAGTTGTGAAGTTAAAGCCTGAAAAGAAATTCAGGCCTGAACGGGATTCGAACCCATGACCTCTGCGATACCGGTGCAGTACTCTACCAACTGAGCTATCAAGGCAACTGGGAGCTGGTCACTTTGTAGTCGTAGGCCTCCGTCGGTCAGGGTTGNCTTACAAGCGACGCTGGATTCAAGTTTGACAGTGGCGTGATTTCCCTCAAACAACCACAATTCGTTGAGACGCGTAGAAACCAATGGCTGCTTTCCACTATACTAAAGATTCCGGAAATTTCCCCCGGTCGAAAGTCAAATGGAAAAGTCCGTTTCGGTTCCGTTCGACCGGAATAGTCGGAATCACCTCTGGAGGTGGTTCCGATATTCCGACCGGAATACTCGGGATCACCTCTGGGGGTGGTCCACTTAATTCGGTCGGAATATTCCGACCGAAATTCGTCCTTCCAATTTTAAGAAACCGGTTCATTGCCCTACTTCTCTTCACCTATGTAGGGAATGCGGGGAAGGAATAAAAAATTGTAAGAGGCATTCCTCTTAGCTGGCCCGGTTTGATCGAAAAATGTCGTTCCATTTTCCTCAGGTATACCTACTGGTCTCTGACCGGTCGGTTTGGCATAATGGAAAGCACCCAATGAAGTAGCTTCATTTTGTATAGACAATAGATTACCTCAAATTGCTATTTTCCTGTTTGTCAAAGTGGGCAAGGCCCGGCTTGCGAGTTATGTTGAAAGGTTTTCAAATAAATACGCTTTTTGTATAGTTTGTTTCTTAATTATAGAAAACAAATAGATTCCATGTTGCCATGTGTCTGTTCAGTAATAGATCACACAAGATGTCAAAATACGGTGAGAACATAAGTGATACACTCGGCTATCGCATCGTGTGCCATTTTTTGGTTCTTACCACATTTTGATGTGGCACACAAGGCGATGACCGAGTGTGTCACTTACGGTTCTTACTACATTTTGACATCTTCTGTGATCTATTACTGAACAGACACACGTCAACATGGAATCTATTTGTTAATTAAAATTAATTTGGTAACTTGTTTCAAGAATTCAGGTACACGCTTACGTCGCTCTTTCGTCGTCTTTCGGTTCTTTGCCTATTTGAGGTCTAAGATAAGCCCTTGTCTGTTTGGTTTTATTTGAGTCATAGAACAATGCAGACTGTCAGTTATTGTTACATCGGCAATTGCTTTATATTTTACTCAATGGACGTCCCACGGCAATACTTTTTTTGAATGTTCTCCATCTCAACAGGCGCTATCAGCGACCGAGAGTATCAAATTAGGCTGCAAAGAGATCAGCAAAGAGAAGACCGCAAAGAAGACACTGAAGAACCAATTGGTGATATTGAAAGAGATTTTACCGAAACCTTATACCAATTTGGTAAGTTAATAACTTGAGTATCAAGGTTTTAACGCTCTTTGCCCTTCAAAAACAAGTACTGTGAAATGAAAGAGGTTTTTGAACAGATAGGTACGTCCCCCAATTCTAATGAAGAAGCTTGAAGAGGATTTGTGAAGAGTACAGTATGGTCCACAGTTTTGTTGAAAGCAATATGGAGACACAAAATTCTGGAATTTTTCATAAGCTGAATTTGGTGTAATTGGTAGACAGTTTCTCAGTACCTGGAATAAGCTGGAGACCGGAGAAACTGTGATGTGTCAGTCTAGGAAGCAATTCCTTCTTGACGACATTTCCTGCATTTAAACAGGCTACACTGAATAACCTGGTCTTTCCGCAGACTTCCGCAAGTATTTTAATAAAAGAGATGCCATACTATGCAAATCATGTCCATGCAAAGGCATATGTTTTAACAACTGAATTGAAGAATTTTCAAGCAGTACTTGAAATTTCCTATGATTAAAATAACTTTTCACTTACCTGTCTTAGGAAACACACAACCTGTCAAGCTCTTACGCTTCTTGGTTTATACAGCAGCCAAACTGGGCGCTCAGCAATTTATTGAAGCAATCTTCAACTCTTCGGCTGGAAGGGTAGTCTTTGAAGCTTATAAGGACAGTTCACAATTGCCAGAAGTTATTGCCAAAGATTATGGTAACGAAGAGACTGCACATTACCTCGAAGGCATAACCAAAAGGTATCTTTTCAGAAGAATGCAAAAAACTGTAATATTAGACTGAAAATTTGTGTATAAACAGCTGTTTCGAGGAAGACTGTCCCACAGAAGCGTAGAAACTTTCTGCCAGTACCGAAATACGTTATGAGTAGTCTCTGGAAAAATCATAAAAATATAGATCTGAGGTTTTTTCTCAATGTAGTTTACACCGGACTAAAAGGGGTCTTGTTCACTCTTTTAACTTACAGTCTTAAATTATACTGCACAGGTTTTCTAGTGAGATTAGCAGTGGTCAAGAATGCTCCCAAACAATAGACTGGTTAGAACTTGCGAAAGTCTTTGGAGAAGCCCAGAGAAAGCTTGGTTAGTAAACAGCTATATATAACTGTTCAGATTGTCTTTTCTCAGTAACAAGTAGTTACCATAATGTCATTTCACAATAAGTCATTCTTGCTACTTGTAAATTTTGTCCTCTGTGCGATGGCTACCATTCCGTCAATGTAATTTTGTGATGATGATTGGCAATCTGTTTGTTTTTCGTTCATTTGTTTCTTACAAAACTAAGAACAGTATATAAAAAAATTGTGTCCAAGGGAATGGAAAACTGGCCTTTTATTGAGTGACTTATTTCTGGTTCATGAACATTGAGTATTGCCACTCCCTGCGAAAGGGATGCTAGTCCATCGCAGGTGACTGCCAACGTTTTGGTCAGATTTCCCTGAGAATTCACCGGTACCCATCCCAGCCGAATTTATACAGCTCGATGGAAGAAGGCACTTTAGGGGCGCTTTCCGTTCAACCTGCACTACTGGACATTTTCAGCGGCGAAAGAAACAGCATTGTCCACAATTTCTAGAAAAGAGGACAACCTCGGGAACTGTACCTAAATTTTCAAAGATTTCTTACTGGGAAATTCTGATCCAGTTAATTTGATTTTCACCCCGGAATCTCAGGAATTTTTGGTTTAATGGTTTGATTTCGAAAATTTAACAAGTTATCGATTCTACAGAAACTTTCCAAGGAAACTTTCAAACCAGTTGCCCCTGTTTTGAAAGTTGCGGACTTTTTGGTTGTGTTTTGCCTATGAACCCATTACAGTGACAACGGTCAGCGTTCAGACCCAGACTCCTTGATCTGTAGTCCGGCGTGCTAACCATCAGGACACTGCACTGTCTTTATTTAGACATAGTCTGATCATTTATTTATCAACCTAACAGATCTTACCAGCAAAAACGAAAACGGTCAAGATAAAAGTGATGATCCCAAGGAAACTGGCTATTTAGAAGATGCTGATACATCTTCCAGTGAAGCATCAGCGCCACAAAGCTCGGACTCTGAGGATGATATCTCCGTTGGAACAACAACGACAACAACAGCAACAAGGAAAGGTATAATAGTTTCGCCAAAGCTACCGCCTTGTATTGTATATAATATTTGGAAACCATTATTTGCGATAATTTAAGTTAGAATTCTACTAAAACAATTAGATTATTCGCTCTCAATTTCCATGAGGTGATAGTTGATGAGGCCGTAGGCCGAATCAGCTATCGCCTCATAGAAATTGAGAGCGAATAATCTAATTGTTAAATAGCAACAGGCACAACGATGACAACGGACTCAAAATGTATCATTATTTTCGCGCTTCATTGTTAATCCGGCACGAGTCGTCCACAACGGCTTCATGCACTGCTACAAAATGTTACTGCTTGTAAGACATTAATATATGTGGTCGGTCAACCAATGTCTGTCTATTTTAGAGCCTCGGAGCAGGTGAAATAACTCCTTTTAATATGGTTACGAAAGCTCCTCTCAGGTTTAAAGCGCGCACGGGTTGCAAGAAAATGTTGTTCGTCGAGTCAGAAAAAAAAAGCACGTAATTCCACCAAACCAAATTTTATTCAAGATTACTGGCCTTTTTTTACAAACATTAACATCTGCCTAAACATAGTAATCATCTCATCCCAATGGTGCTTTTTAAGCAGCAAAACGTATTTCAAAACAAACTGTATCTGAGTTAAAATATTTACACCACCATAAGCCTCGTTAGTATTTCTAGTGAAACAGATTTCAAAAAAGAAAATGTAAATTAGTAGGCGCTTAGTTTGTTTCCATAGCATTATTGAAGTGAGTGGGATCAATGCTACCCCACCCCTACCCCCGACCAGAATGATTGTCGGTTTACCATTTACTGGCCGGTCACCAGAGTGGAGACTAAGGCCCAGTCCGCACTACTAATTTGAAAACGCAGCTTTATTTCTACGTTTAGACCTACCGTCCACACAAATCTGTCACGAAAACGGAGCTTTTTAAAAACGCTCTTCAAACTAGAGGAAACTGAAAACGCCGGCTTTTCGTTTTCGTGTGGGCGGAAGACATTTTCTAAACGGAGCTTTTCGAGAACGTCACAAATCCAAAATTATCGACGACTGCTTCGTTTTTAAATTCCTCTAGCGTAGAATGGACGGGAAACATTCGGTGCGTTTTCAGAGTGAAACCTCCGTTTTCAAATTCCTGCGGTATTTGCATAAATAATAACCAAGGAAGTCAGTCAATGTAAATACCAATGGAGTAGACCAAACAGCACCGTTACGAAAGTCGGAACAGTTTTGGATGGCAGTTTCTACCCCAAAACTGGAACAATATTATTTACCGTGATGTTTATCGACCTTGGAAAGCCCAAAAATCACATGACGCGCCTTTGAATTTCATAGCATTTCTTCTCTTCTCTACAATTTGTCGAGTTCACTTTTCAGGGTATCGACAGCTTTACGCATGCGTCTTTCCTCTTCTGCGTCTGCGCACTCTGTGAGCCACTCAGCACACTGTTTTAAAACAGCCTCCCTTTGAAGACGGAAATGAGCTCGGATTGCTTCTTCAAACCCTGAAGAGAGTTAGAAAAAATGCTGTTAAGTCAGATAACAAAGCTAAAACACTACTTCGTTTGAAAAAAATAACGGTTCCCCACCNCCCCCCCCCGCCCTTAATCTCCCAGGCAAATTGAAACGAGGAGTTTCTCGTGCGTGAAGTATTTTAGGCCTCAGAAATGCCACTTCTGTTATTACTCGCTGAGTAGTGTGGTAACCGAAGTTTATCGCCGGCTGGTGAGCCTCTAGATTCGGAAGACAAAAGGCTTGGTTAAAAAGCAAGCAAACTAACCCGGTGTTGGTTCGCGTAGCTGTCCAACCATGGCGTGACGTATCGTATGCAGTTTGATTGTTGCGTTGTATTCCTTGCACAGAGTCTGTGGAAAAAAACAAAGGCAAATAAGTTTAAACAAGGTTTGCTGTTCACAAGGGATAAACGCGTACCTCTTTGAACGAAACAACAAGCAACAATAAATGTAAATAACCATAAAACAGCAGCAGAAGTGCACAATTAGAGATTTAATGACAAACGTGGTTTAGAAGACGAACAAGTTTACCGCAACTAACTGGTGAGTGCATAGGGTGAGTGCTACCGCTCGATTCAATCCCTGTTAACATATCTTTACTGTACCGATGAGTGATCCGGCCACTTATCTTGAGTTGCCATATGTTATAAGCAAAAGTATGACACGAACTGCTTCCTTGCGAAGATTTACACAAGATACTACTCACATCTCCTTCGTCTGTTCCTTTAATACCCTCGTAACCAGGCTCGTTAAAACAAGGATCCGGAGTGAACATCATGCCTTGAATGGACAACAAAACCTGTTGATATAAAAACAAGAACGCGTTTAGCCACAGGTATCCCGTAATACCGTAATTCTACCAAACACAAACCTGGTAAAGCGAAGACTTCTTCGGATCCCATTTTTCACTAGCTTCTCTACCGTGGAAGGTCCCCAGCAAACTCAAGCAAACCTGAGAATATAAACAGGTATGTTACCACTGCAGGGGGGTGTTTAACTCATCACACGACAGAAATGCGCCAGACAAACTGCAATAGACCAACCCAAAAAGAAGTGAAGATTACCTTTCCGTCTGCATAAAGATTCGGGTTGAACCTGGAAAAGAGTTAATTGGTGAACATTGTGACTTAAAAAACAGCTTTAGCACTGAAAACACAATCAGATAAGTTAAGTGTTAAAAATACACCTAGTATCACAATTTATGCGTATATGAAACCTGGCTTCTTTGAAATAGTACTTCAAAACTTCCCAATATCAAGAAGATGAGAGAACTGTCACTTTAAAACGGATGACTCAACGATAAACAGCCCGCAATTTTGGTGCGGACAAATCAGGGTAGGGACGTCTATGTCTTCTCCCCACGTCACAAATTGAATGAAAATAGGCGAAGAATAATGCCGCGCAAGATATGTCAAAGTAAAATCGATAATCTGAAAATGCGTCGGAGTTGGTTTTTTTTTAATGACTGGCCAATCATCACAGACGCAGATGGCACAAGAAAAAAAAAAAACAGGTTTATTGTTGCTGACGTTACCATAAATAAATCGCCGTATCTTACCTCACAGTGCCATTACCGGTGGTGATAATTTTCACCATTGGTGGATCAACAGGATACGAGGACGGAAAGTACACATCGAACACGAAGCAGCCCCGACTGTACGGCGTATCGACCGTGCCGGTAATAAGCGCACGGACAAAGTCCATACGGTTTTCATCCTGCATGGACAATAAAACAAAATCGGCAAATCAGCACACCCACCCAGATAACACGCACACGGTCCTGTTGACGATTGGTAACCTTTATTATTTGTTGAGAATTTATTGAAAATGAGGGAAAGCTTTTTTCGTATGTAACAAGTGTCGCATTATAACGAGTGAACACCGGGCCGACAATTTGTATGACAACCCTGAGTATACAACGGCGAGTCTGCAAGCCTTTTGATTGCCTGAACAAGGTACCCACAAAACTTGTGAGGATTATGTGGTACAATGAACTCGGTCCCCGTTGTCTGTAGGGTGAATAACACTATTCACTGGATTAATTACCCTCCAATAGGTAAGTATTTACCAAACAAACTTCCAAATTGAACGCTTTTAGAGTGTCGTAAAACCAAAACCAACCCAATAACTTACCAATTAGACTACTTCGTCAATCTCAAACCATAGTAAAACCAAAACCAAACCAATTACTTACCAATCAGACTACTCTGCGAATCTCAAACCGCGTAGTAAAACCAAAACCAAAACCAAAGTAATTGCCTCATTACTCTCGACACTCGATTGAAAACCGCTCTATACTAGATAGTAATTTATTCTAACGATAGTGTTATCCATCCCTTTGAACAACTGTGACCTGCAGTAAAGGCCTATTCGCGAGTTACTAACATTGTTTGAACTGCCACTAAAACTGGGAAAACACTCAATTACGGAAAAGATGATACAGAAACGCTCTCACCTGACGAACGAGGATGGAAGCATTTGGATGAATCGGAAGATTACTTTTAAGTTGGGCTGCTTCTCGCATAAGAGCCTTGACTTTACCGGACCTAACAGAAAGGAGAAATGTGAAAAGTATGAATATTACATGGATGAGGTATTGAGAATAGCTGGGAATGACTTCACTTCAGTTACCTGGGACACATTGGCTGGCAGGCGCGGCAGCGAAAGGCATGATATTCCTGAAATGACGAAAACACTTTAAGTTACAATTGATTCAAAACTATTGGAAATTTTAATCCCGTTATTAACTCAAATGAAGGAAAAAGTCAAACCGTGTCCCATGCGACGCAGTGGGGCAAAAATGATAACATATCTAACAAGTTGATATCAAAATTTTGCAAGCTTAGTGTTACACATTTATTATCATTCAGTATGAATCTACTAGCGTTCTATCTCGAATGCTGTTCTCTTACTGGCTATACTACTCACTATCTATTCTGTTGTAGATAGCAAGTAGCCTAGCAGTGTGCGGTTGTTTACAAAATGGCGGCAGCTTTTCTACTTTTTCGAAGTGTGTGTGAAGCGGATTTAGATAAAGTTGTGAGCGACTAGTACACTTATACTAAGGCAGTGAATTCCATTGTTTGCTTGCTCTCGATTTCTGTGCGTGATAGAAATCTTGAGCTCATAATCTAAATGTTAATAATCACATAGTAAGGATTTGTACTAAAAACGATGTTGGGCTGCAGGAATTGCGACCAAATTACACAAATTGTTATAAACCCCTTCACTTTCAAACATATATATTGAAATCTTACTATTAAAGGCCACTGACGATTATTAAGCAGTCTTACACATTTTGCCATACTCTTCCTGTTTCTGGTATTCTTAAAAATGTATTTCCATTATTATTTTTTTGCGCAAATGAGGTCATGTCACCTGGAACTGCGAAGGACCAATTGAATTCTTTCTTTTTTTATTTATTCATTTACATCACTTTCAGTTACAAGCTACTTACGCCACTAAAACAGTACGCTACTTACAAAAAAAAACACTTGACAGTACTTACTTACAATGTGCGATACTTACGCTACTAACAATACTATACTCTACTTACAATACAACACTTACAGTACTTACTTACAATGTGAGATACTTACGCTACTAAGTTAGTAGCCAATTGAATTCTTACCACAAGCTCCGCAGTGTCAAACTTGAGTAGTTCAAGAGCTTCAATATAAACTTGATCTGCCTCCTTTGCATCATGCGGTTCCGCTATAGAAGCCCCTTCACCACCCTTCTCAGGCACACGCTCCAGTGGGGGAGGCTCAGTCTCGTCTTCGTTTGATTCGTCTTCACCCAGGGAGGGGTGGTCTTCGTCTCGTGCTAGTATTAGGCTAACCTACGAAGTTCAGCATTGGAAAAAATGTGATGAGATCTGCCTCAGCTTGTTTCCTAGTCTGTGACAATTCACAGAAAAGCTTTTTTTTTTTTTCAAGTGGTGCTGTTTATTAAGCTGTACAAGGTTAGATGGTTCAAATTTTAAGTCTGTGGATGAAACCCTAGAGTGTGACCATTCAAATGAAAGCTATTGAGCTGTAGTTTCACGAGATACTACTGTTTATTCTGCTCCATATGACGGTTATACCTGTTTAAAGTTTGTGGATGAAACCCCAGTGTGTGACCATTCAAATGAAAGACCCCATAAGCTACTAAGTCTTAACCTTTCATCGTGCTTAAATAAAGGTTGTCTGTCTGTTTGTCTGTCTGTCTACCCCGGAGTAGCAATTCAACACGGTGCGCGGTACTGTATGTCATGTTGCACAACGTGGTTCTAAGTCTAAGTCTGAATGAAACGCTGGAAGCTATTCAGCAGGACAGTACATTCATGTGGTACTGTTTATTATAAGAATCATATTAAACTACACTGCCACGAAAGGCTTTCCTTGCAGCTATTATAGTTTCCTGACTTCTAATAACACTACAATCACTCGCACCTCTTGCATAACGCTTCTCAAGTCTCGAACCACGTGATCAGGAGCGAGGTTTTCCCGCTGAACAACTCGCAACGCTCGCTCCACACTGAGTCTACTGTAGTCTGGGTTAGCGGCGAGGCATTTCACAAACTCTCTCTCTTCACTGGCATTTGACATGCGGACTAACACCGTTAGAATTTTAACTAGCAGGTCACGTGGATCAAAGGAATACCTGGAGATTAAAACAAAAATTTAAAACAATTTTCATTTCTCTAGATGAAGAGTGGGCTATTCAAACATTACAAAATGTGTGGACGGTCTTGTCGACCAGTGTCCAACACTTACACTACATCGACAAGTTTAGTCACTATGTTAACCCATCACATACAGCTTAAGACAGGAATTGCACCCTATTAAAGAGCTAACTTAAGCTAACGGAAACGCTACTCAGGCTAACAGGAGTGCTGTTCAGGCTAACCAAAGTGGTATTTAGGCTAACTGGAGTGCTGTTTAGGTTAACCAAAGTGGTATTTAGGCTAACTGGAGTGCTGTTTAGGTTAACCAAAGTGATATTCACGCTAATCGGAGAGCATTTTAGTGTAGCGCAATT